GAAGGTGGCGCAATAGAACCAAAGTGTTGATGATGACTGCGGTGAATCGCTTAGCCATATCGCTCTTGACCACCATTTCTTCGATAACAGTCAATCTAGTATGGGACCACAAGTTTTGGTTTGGTGCAAAGAGTCGTCAGATTTTTATGAATTATTTATGGTCAAGATTCAAAAGCACATTGTCGGCTAAACAACTAAAGAGATTCAACACAAATATGCTTCAATAAAAGCGATAGCTTCATAAGACGAAAAAAATCCACAGTATGTCTTATAAGAAAAATATATTAGACTCTTTGCATGTCGCTTTATTTCAGTCTATTTTTTTGACAAGAGACAGGTTTGAAAGTCGGTGAGAAAGCCTCAATTTCACCAGCCACACGGTTGATAGCCAACGAGGTAGGTTAAAACTAGGCTGTAGAGGGTAAAATGAGCTCTCCAGTCAGAGCTGCAGCAGAATGTACAGACCTGATACATATACGTCGACGATTCTGTGTGGAAGTCTTCTGTAAATATACGCTATCTAGAGGTTGCAAGCATGAATTCAAGTTGCACAGCTTATGCTCAATTGCTGGCTACACCTAAGGGATCTTGGTGGGTATCGGTAGCGAGCACTCCATCGCTGGTCATGTAGCTCTGTCTGTAGTGATGAGGATTATGCGCGATTCGCTGGATGAAGGAACAAATACAATTTTCTGTCCCGATAATTGATACACAAAAGTTTCCTTAGGGAACGACTTACTGCTCAAAAGTATTCATCACATGGGCAGCTGTAGCAAAAGATGAATAGACTTCTAAGGTGGCTCATGTACCCAAATTTAAAAAATGGCAATGGACAGGACAATGTGGCCGATGTATGCAATTATGTTAAAGTGCTGAAATGGAAAGGAAATTTTTATGACACACAGTTCAGCAGAGCAATCTTTTTCTCCAACTTATCAAGATGCAACTTGCTGAAAACAATAACCAAGGTAGGCTGGTGGCCACCACTAGGCACCAAATATCGTGAATCACTTCCTCTACCAAAATCTCATAGAAGATTTATCGTGAACGCATGCTGAACACCTTGGTAAATGACTTCAATATGAAGCTTATCTCCTTACATTCGAAAATGAACAGCTTCCAGCTGTGTTATCACTTCCTTGAAGGAAGACGTAGCAGTTAGTTGAGAATATAGAGACAATTAGTAGGATATCTCAGGGAAATATCAAGGTCTTATGATAGCAAATACGCTATCAAAATGTGCGCAGATTAGCACTATATGCTGCCGTGGTAGGAAATGTTGCCGTTTGGAAAGCCTCCATATTGTCTATAAAAAGTATGCAATTTTGATACGAAATGCAATTTTTAAATGAATAATTGCCTATTTGAGCGGCTTTAGAAAGGCATACCACCTCATCGCGGCTGAGAAATGTTCCTGGATGTCGGACTGCGAAGTAGAGCGAGAGGTTCATTTACATGCAGGCCCTCTAAGCTGAGAATGAGTCCGACGTTTCCATTCTGAAACTTAGCTAAAAGTAAACCAATACTAAGAATCATCACCGTCACGGTACCAGACTAGTCATAGGGTGGCAAATCTCTCTATGTTCCTTCCACAAGGGTGGGCGACTATCTGGAGTGGTCAATTTGGGAAAGGCATTGGTTTGGCTGACGTAGGCACTCCAGAGAGCCATAATGGGTAAACTAGCAGAGCTTCAGGTTCAGTAGTTGAGGGCGTTGTCATCTACAAGATTGAACAACGATACAACTTGTGAGAGCCGATCAAATCTCTGGTTGCATAGGACGTCATTTGGAAACTGGTAAAACGAGCACTCCCATGTCACTCCACTGGGCCTGCTTCTTGCTCTGCACCTATAACGCCAAAACAGCGTTTTCAGACGCCGACCTTTACACTGTTCTTGAGTCTGTTCTTCACATCTCATTCTCTGTGATCGCTCTACAAGAGAAGGAAAGCAAGTGGACCAGTATACGCCAATTAGATAACGAAGCCCATGTCATTCGTGGAGGGATATTTCTCTTACGAAATGCCAAAGAGAGCTTTTCATATATCCATCTGTTACCCATTTAGTCACCTAAAGCGAAACCCTATCACCGCGTGGCCATTCTTCGTCTTTAACTTGTACGTCAAAAAAAATAAATATCATCAACTGCTACCCACTAACTTATGCAGCTGATGAGAGCGAATTTTAGACGTTCTATAACCAGTTGGTGGAAGCAATCCGCAATCGGAAGCCCTTCTGCAATTTCGTTGAGTTCAGACCCCATCTCTATTAACACTTAGAAATTGCTCTAAAAAACAAGAGAACTGATGCTTGATCCTACTATAACACACCTAAAACGGCTGATAAAAAATGGCAGCTATGGGAGACATTTGCAGGAGGATTTACATCGCTAGAGGCAGAAAAGTAGTATGAAGCAGGTCACAAAGGAACCAGTCGGAAAAAGTGCTTTCGGGACTTTTGGCAGTTTAATGTTTTGCTATCTGTTTTCATAAACGAAGATTGACTATCACCACATTCCTGATATGGAATTGATAGCAGAAAAGTTTTATACCAATCTTTTCTGATCTATAACTCCTACTCAGTCCCTGAAATAGCCGCAGTGGTAAATAACCGCCCAGGGTTTTTGCCCCCAAAGTACGATTTACGATAGAAAGTGTCAAGAGTGTCACAGCCCCGGTTCCTCTAATATCATCGCTGAGTTTCGTAGAGCTGGAGGTCACAAATTGTACATATTTCTCGCAACCTACACGACATTTTACCTCAGAAACAGAAAATCTCAGAGCAGTGGATAAAGTCGGGCGCGATCATCTTCCCAAGAAGAGTGATCGGAAGGATCTCCTCAATTATCGTGTGGCATTTTTGTTGTTGTACTCTACAAGCTCTTCACGAAGATTACCCTGTCGTGGATATAAAAGACATAGAATGAGGCAAAAGCAATTAAGCAAGCAGTGTTAAAAGGATTTTGCTGCAGGTGCCACATCAAAACCGTGTCACAGGCCATAAATTCTTGTCGAGAATACCACCTAACACTAGTCCTAACTTTTCACGATATAAACAAATGTCTGACAGCGTATGAAGAAATTCAATCCCATTAGCGCTCGTCGACTAAAGAGTGGGCCGGTCTTACATCAGAACTCCATGCAATTGTTACTGGAACTGCAAGACGAAAATACAGCTCATCTATCGACCTCTTAGCATCACCTGCATTGTCCAGTTCATCGACGAGAGTGCTGGTAAATATCCCATTTTTGTCTGTTGAGAGCAAGAGTAGCTCAGTGGGTTTTGCTTGCTGTAGAGACTCGTTGAGCATTTCTTCAAGACTCTTTGTGAAGAACTCTGACCATCGGATCGGTGGTCATCCTGCACTACGTTTGACATCCCGAGGAATTCGGTCACTAACGGCTCTTGTCCATCGTTAAATATAAACTGTCAGGAATACAAATACACCTCTAGGATGCCCATGCTTTTCTTGTTTTCAGCAATATTTCCGACTTTCTTTCGAAAACTGGATAGGGTGACATAAAGGACAAAGTGATAAAGCTCTCGGTGTTGATCAATACCGGTGGGACTAAATACTAAGCTCTAACACATGAGTCACCTGTATCACCTGTAGTCCCGTTGATCGTCGAGTGACTCGAGCGGGCGCCAGTAAATCTTCCATTTTTCCCAGTCGGGCGCAATGGCCCAGTGGGTTCTGCTCGCTCTAGGGACTCGTCGAGCATCATATCTTTCTTCAAGGCTCTTTGTGAAAAACTCTGATTATCGGGTCTGTGGTCTTCCTGAAGTACGTTTGACATCCCGAGGAATCCAATCACTAACGGCTCTTGTCCATCTGTTCTCATTCATACGCATTACGTGTCCGGCCCACCTTATCTCCGACTGTTTGGCGTACCGAACGGCATCTTTGATTTTTGGCCGTTGACGCAGATCGGAGCTTCAGATTCCATCCCTTACTTGGGTGGAACGGGATACTCCTAGCATCGTCCTTTCGAATGCGCGTTCGATAACGCTGAGTGACCTTTCATCCTGGTTACGCAGCGACCAGGTTTCTGACGCATACGTTAACGCAGGAAGCACCGTTGAGTCGAAAAGTGGGCACAGAGTCGGGTGTTCATTGTTCTCTTCACTACATCCTCGATGCTCTTGAATGCTCCTCAAGCCGCGCGTTTCCTTCTGCTTAACACTGGGGCTTAGGTCGTCCATCATATTGATTTCCTGAACTAGATGGAAGTAAGCGGAGCATTCGAGGATATTAATTCCTCTGAGGGTGAATGAGTCACACGTAACTAAACCGTTCTTCATGAACATCGTTTCTATGAGATTTACTCGAAGACCAATCTTTTCACAGGCTTTATCAATTTCGCCCAGCTTTCGTTCCGTTTGGCTAATGTTTGATGTTATAAAAACGATTTCATCAGCAAAGCGAACATGGTGTAATTGCCGACCATCAATTTGCGCTCCCATATTTTCCCATTCCAGTGTTCGCACGTCGTTCCCGAGGGTCACGGTTAAAATTTTGGCGAGATCGTATGGCCTTGTGTAATCCCTCCTTTGACGTCGATATTAACATTCTTATATAATGGGGATATCTTCGCTGTGAAAGTTTTTACAGCCCGCCAAGATTTTTCATATACTTAGAAGGGACTCCCTGACCGTCCAGTGATTCCATGACTGCTTCTGCCGCAACTAAGCCAAAAACTATAATGATGCTGAGAAATCTGCAAAAGTCCGGACTGTTCCGCCTTGGCGTCGGAGTGCAGTCACCTTTGTCTTGTAATTTGCGAAGCTTCGGTGGGTTTTGCAAATGTTTTTCCCACACTCTGCAGCTTCGACCAAAACAGCTGCTCTTCTTTCTTCAAGACCTTTTATCGCCCTTCTGCATTGTTTTGCAAGTTCGGAAGCGATTTGGCGGTTGTGTGCAGCTCAAAGCGCGAAAGAGGCGATAAGTCCGATCCCGTCTAGAATTTTGGAATAACAGCTGTGCATCGTTTAGGCAAACCTTCAGTTTACCATGATTTGGTCTGTTTCGTTGCGGGACTCTCCATTGGCAGACTCCCACGTCCAGTATTGAGGGTGGGGCTTCTGGAATTGCGAGTTACCATGAATTGTTTCGGTCGATATGATGACCTCGGGCAGCCTCTCAACCTGCTCGTTACTTTCTAATCCATGGGTCCCAATGTGACGTTCTTCAGGCGTTTTTCTTGGTCCAATCTTGGCGTTAAAATCTCCAGTGATAACTTTGAAGAATCTATGGTCTTCTCTATTGAATTTCTCCAAGTCCATATAGAACGCTTCAACTTCTTCTTCGTCATAATTTGATGCCGGCGCGTAAACGACGAAGATTGTCAAATCCTGTGTTAACCCACATCTCTTCAATCGTAAAGGTCCGATTAGGGTTGTTAGATGTTCGAATGAATCGATATCCATAGCCAAACTCGTGCTGACGGGAACGCCGACTCCACCGACTCCTCCACTATCGCGTGCTCCGAGGAACGGTTCTTCTTCAGTGTCGTCTTCTTGTCTCGGCACTCCCGATGACGTCGCATCTTACCCTTTTTGCCTGCACGATCAAGTCTTCCTTCTATCGCGGACTCAGATGCAAGTGTAGGTGGATTGTAGGTACAGATCGTCACCTTAGTGTCTTGCTATTTAGGCAACCTAGATTGCCCTACGATTTTAACGGCCTCTCCTTACTCGGCCTGCCCAACGCTGCCGAATTGTGGGCTTTTTCGAGGTCAAGGTAATGAGGCCGGTTCCTTTTACTTTGGTTGGCTTTATAAAAACCGCGTGTAGCATGCTGAGCTTTGAATGTGGGCTATCTATACTCACGGGTAGCTTGCCAGGCTCTCCCAGAGTAGACGTGGAACGTTTTGTTGGAGGTGACTCCTAACCGCATCCCGTATACTTCCCCGTCAAATGATTGCAGGCTTTCTCTGAATTGACTCGTAGAATACTTGATACTTGAATGGCCCATTCTCACTGGTTGTGCGGGCCCCAGCATAATCTCCATTTTCCGGAGATTTGCCGGTTAAGTCATTGTGGTTCCCTGGAATCCCGAAGACAGCCTGGCCAAAGTCTGCCCTAGGTCGTCACCGCTACAGGCAGTCGCAGCCCTTGTGGATCAGAGGGAGATTTACCACCATGCAATTTTGATACCAAGATGGTGGTGGATCCCAGTATTGGTTTACTCTTAGCTAGGCTTCCTGATGGAAAATTCGGATTCAGTTGGAACAAAACCCTGCCGGGGGACGAATCTCCCAGCTGTACATCGCAGTGCCGCACCCAGGAACACCTTCCAGCTACGATGAGGCGGTAAACCGTTGGGAGATGTTATATATCACCATTATCATATATCACTGTTATATTATCTCTATCTATATCTATATTATCTTATCTGATCTCTCATAAAACGTACGGAGACGAATACATTGGTGAAAAGGGTAGGGAACCATGTATCCGTATAAAACAACACCTAGACGACAACCTTAAAGTTAAACCAAATGCTCCACTATCTGCTCCTAGGACACAGAGAAATAACGGGAAAAACTTTGTAGTAGAAACTACCTTCCTCGCACAGGAGTAGAGAGCTTCAGTGCGCCGAGCTCTCGAAATATTCCGCATAAATTCCGAGAGTCCAAGAATGAACGGCAAGAAGGAATGCTTCATTACCACACGTGATCTCATACAATATTTTAGGCTGATATTTTAACATAGGGCCCAAAACATAACCTAGTCTCGTGAACTCTGCTTGACTGGTCTTCACGTCGAATACTCAGCGAAATACCCATAGAATGTGGAGAGTATGCGAAGAAGCTTTTTTTCGTTCAGTGCTATTGAAATCATGGTTCCGTAATTTTTTTTATTTTGGATGATAGATTTCTGAAATTTATCACACTGCAGCGATGCGACATAAAAGGATGAGAGATTAAGCTTCCAGCTTTGATCAACTCCTAAGAGATGCACAGCCATGCATTCGACTTTGCTAAGCATCGCTTAAGGTGTATTATGTGCAATACCTTGCCTACACAATGTCTTAGATAAAGAGTGTCTTGGATATGAGTGGCTAGAGGTGCCCTAGGATACATATGTGTTCGACCCCGCACACCAAGCTCACCAAGCCTTCCATCACTCAGCGCTAGGCAAATTGATTCCAGACCCGTCCAGAAGGATAGAAGAACTGTTTCATATATCGGTAGGCCACTGGGTGCCACTGTATGAGCCAAATATGCATCCAGTCACCTCCAAACGATGCGTAATGAAGTCGAACACATGGCACATCCGTAGGCATTGATCAATGCGGATAACTTTACCTTTTCATACAATCTCTTCAAAGTGGCCTACCGATGTATCAAGTTACTGCTGCTCTCCATCTTTTTAAGCATTCTGGTAGCAATTTGCAGACCCCTGAGGAATAGAAGGCTTACTGAGCACTAATACCTGATTGAGTCAACGACCACGTGTGTATTGCAGGACACCTCTAGACCACTGCTTTACACGCTACCAGTTATGCGGCGCATTGTGATACAGTAAAGTTGAATCGCTTCACAAAAGATAAAACGGATCACCTAAAGACTTAACAACGGCCATTTTTTAGTCCTTAGCTTTCCTACTAATTTATGATCTTTTCACTGGTGAACTTCACGATGGAATTCCACCGTCTTGCACCGTCCTCTCCGGGCAATAGAATTCGCATTGTGTTAAATGTGGAATGAGTGAGTCAACGCATCGTGACACTTTACGAAACATCCTAGCCCCGAAATAATCGAAACACTAGCTCAATATCCTAAAAACTTTATTAAAAATTTGTGCCCAACGACTAGCGAAAGTTCCTAGTGCGCGCAGCTTGGAATGGAACCATTCATTGAGTGTCTGTCAGCTCAGTAAATGCGTGTGGTTTAAATAGTACGCCCAATTTTTGAGTACGTTCCTTTCATCAGCTGAATGTGATTTTTTAAGGTAGATAATGCTTGGTGATCCATCTTTATACTCCATTTTGATCGTTACTTTCTTTCTTACGCTCGACAACATTAGTCGAAGCGTTTTAAAGTGCATCAACAGCCACCCGTTTGATGATACTTTCCTTTCCTTGTATTCCTTCCGCTTTCTTGTTCTTACCCTTTCAATTTAGGCGCTTACAAGCCTTTTCGCCTAGCTGCTGTAAGCAAATAACTTTTGATGGCCAGTTGTTAAGACGTCGAGAGATTCTTCTCAAGTTGAGCAGTTCGTGACAGGCAGTCGACGTTTTCCGTCTGACAGATGACAGACACCACCAAATATGCAAAACACCCCTCAGGGTGAAGTCCGTCAACTACCATGTCTTCGGCTGCTGACTTGTACAGAACTTGAGGTTTTATAATATAGGGAAGATTAGCCGTCTCCAACACGATTGAGCACCTTGTAAGTGAACTTCGAATATGTTACGGTGACCATCTTGACAGCAATGATCTTTCTTAACGATAAAGTTAACTCTTTCCAGTCTCGAGCCAATTGCTGATCACTGTGTTTTGGGTTTTGCAAAATCTGTGTAACCTACTAGGAGAGACCGAAAAGGTTCCTTATTAATATAATCTAAGGTTGATGAATGAAGAAGCTTGTTGTTTTTACACAAAGTATTCATCAGAAAAGCGCTGTTACGCTTTATGGGATCCTATCTACAAAAATTCAAATTCAGCTTTCACAGGGCATCAAGCTAAGAATTAGAAATTCGTTGATTTCTCATAAGGTCCTGGGGTTAAGCTCTTGAAACAGTTTCATTGACCCATTCTTCGCAGTTAGGTAATCGATAATGGTCTTCTACAATGTGCGATATTCCCTGTGGAATTCTTCCAAGTTTGATTCACACGGTTCATGCCACGACTTCTTTCTGTATTGTGCCTCTTTGCTATTGGTTTGTAGGAGGAGATGGTCCATAAATAATTTAACGAGCAAGCACTTGCGGTTTCAGACCGTGAACTTTATGCCAATATAACTAGCCTAAAGCACTATTATATTAGTTTTTAGGTTATGAGAACTGTCCATCATTTGTGGCAGCGAATTATCTTTCATAATAGTTCTGCATCCATTTCTTATAAATTTTTTTTGATCATCACTAGAACAAAGAGAGCAAGCAGTGGAGAGCTTTCCACTAGTAGGAATTTCCTGGTAATTTGTGGGCTCATTTCATTGAATTCCACTTTTTTCTCTCTCTATGAGCCTTCTATTGTGTGGGTCCCAGCACTTCGCCCATTCATTCTGTTTCTTTGCATTCGCCATTGGCCACGACCTCTAGATTTTAAATAGGATTCAGCTCTTAACTAAGAATTTCGTCTTCTTTATGGATGCGGCTGAATATTGCTCGAATTGATATATCGGAATCCTAATATGATTCTGCTGAATCACTCACAGGCATTCACTACCTGAAGTTGACTCTTCGTATGCAGCTTTCAACTTTTTTCAGACACCTCAGGTACCGACGTGACAACTCTACAGTGAGGGGGCTTTCATAGACCACTAGAGAATCGGATCCTTGAAGCATACCAATTTATACCACATAAATACAACGCGCGTTACAACAATAGTTTGTGCAAAGGACGTATACCCCAATAGTACAGCATTATCATATCTATATATATATATATATATATATATATATATATATATATA